GTCCCAACACAACAGGACAATTTTGCCCACCCCAACCTTGCAGGGGTTCAGCTCTTTTGGCTCCCTGTCCCTGTTGAAAGCAGCAGGTGCCCAGCTGGGGGCTGAGCAAAGAGTAATTGGAGGCAGCACAGATCACACTAACGATGGCAAATCCAATTAGCCAAGGGTTAAGCACTCAGCTGATGAAAACCAGGGGTTCAAACTGCTGAGCCAGCAAAAGCTCTGCACCGATCAATGCCATGTAAATAATATTGCTTGCTCTTGGGAACCCATTTCTTTCTCTTTCAGTGGTGAAATACATTTCCCCCGGCAGGACCCTGCTGAGCAGATTAATAAACATCGTCCTGGTATAGGGGGGGGGGGGGGGTACACATTGCTGCTGCCTTTCCTGGCTCTCCCACACACACAGTTGAACAAAATGAGGAATAATTGCTGCTCACGTCGTGCTGTCGGCTGCTATCAAATGGTTCTGGGATTAGTTAGTGAATGAGGAGGATTCTCTGAGTTGTCTCTGCAGTGGAGGGGGAAAAAAAAAATGCTGTTTCTAGATCAGTGTAATCCGACCACCAGTTTATGGAGCCAGAGTCCTCTGGGGAGCTCAGGAGAGGGACCATGAGCTGGGAGACACAGAGAAGCACCCAGCAAGAGCTGGCCCCAGCTCACCTGCACCCATCACCACCTCTGCGAGGTCCATGAACGGGTCTGAGTCCCACTGTAGCTCCTCTAGGGGCTACTAAGTGTCGTGTCTCTTCTCCATTTCCCCCCCCCTCCCCGCATTGCTGATCCTAATTCCTCCCACCACTCTGACCAGGAGGCTCAGAAACATCTAAAAGCAGAGGCAGCCCCATGGGGCATCAGTGCAGTCCCCTGAACTAACTCTCCCCATCCCAGATGCCTACAGGGACCTGCTGAACATGGCTGCTTCTTGAAATTGAGCTCAGCAAACACAGCTAGATAAATAAACAGGGGAAAAAAAGAAAAACACAACAATAAAAAAACTCCAAAATGAGAGTGCGGGGGGTAGGAGAGACATCTGCCCCAGCAGGTTCCTTGGTCTCACTCAGCTGCTCGGAAAGGGCTCCTTGCCACTCCTGACTGGTTGCTGGATACTGCTCACCTCAGTGACATTCAAGCCCCAAAGGGTGACAGCTTCCAAATAACGATGCACAAAACTGGTCTGGAGGTGTGAGGAGCCAAAAGCTGCCCAGTGAATGCTCCCTGGAGGGGCAGAGGGGCCAGGGGCCATCGGGGACCGTGGTGGTGTCAACCCGAGTGTCCCAGGCTGAGTGCAGGGGCTTGAGGCTGAGCCTGCCCCAGCCAAATCACTTGCTCCAGTGAGGCTTTTCCTTAGGACTGCCAGCCTTCTGTGCGATTCCAGCTTCCCAAGACACATCCTGTAGTGTTAGATAAATGGGTAGGACCAGCCGGTGGCAGAGATGCTGCTGGGAGCTGGGTAAAGCCTCCCCTTGGCCGTTTTGGGAGCGATGGGCATGTTGCATCCCAGGAATTTGCTCTGAGTCCCTTGGATTTGTCCCTGCTTTTCCTGATTGCTTGTGGCTGAAACATCAAGACACTCCAGGAGAAAAAGGACAGAAAAAACACATTCAAAAATAAAAATATTTCCTTTTGACATGTTTTCTTGGTTTGCAATAAGCTGCTTCGATCTTTTGATCTGAAGTGTCTTCCCCCCTGACATGTTCTTTGATTGCATTTATTTATTTTTCGCCTTAAAAAGTTGGAAATCAACCCAAGCCCTTTTGATTTTGACTGGAACAGAGCAGGAGCACAGATGATGTCTCTGGAAAGTGATTTTTTTTTTTTCTGAACTGCTCCAGAACTGGGAAGAAGAAAAACCCCAAATAAATCTGTTGTTGGCACAGCTGAGAAGAAGATATTGAGAG